AGAATGGATGACCTCCTTATGTCTCTCCAGTTATTCTATAAGTGTGCTGGAATCTGGGAAGAGATCTTGAAGTCAACCAGCTGAGTGCTACAAACACACCATGAAAGAAAACACTACTGGGACATCCAGCTAAGGGAACTAAAAGTTGCATCTGCTGACAGAACCTGCTGGCGACCCCTATGCTATGAAACCTCCATCAATTTTGAAGATTGCCAAACTTGATAGATAACCATGAAATCATAGAATAACACCCATAGTTACTACAACAATGGATTTTTAGTGCCCTCAATGTGCTAAACTCTTCATTTCCAGACTGGGACTAGAGAGCCATCTCCAAATCCAGAGATGAACTGTATAACACCATGTCTTCTTCAAAACCAAAGGACTCTGATATACATACGAGGGCTCTTTGGAAAAATGGAACTCATTAAAAATATTAGGAACAAAAAATCAGAGGAAGTGAAATTCAGAGTTGAATCTTTCTCATGCTGCTACTAGTAGTCAGAAGAAAACTAAGGGGAAAAGCAAGAACCACTACTAGAAGCATATACTTTGTGCCAAGGAAGCACTTTTTATTGAAAAACCTGTCTTTGCCAATTATGGTGTCAATTATGAGTTCTGGGCAGTCACATTACTTATATGTTTCAAGTACAAGGATCACAATTATAAAATAAAGAATAAAAAGAAGATAAGGGATTTATTTTTTTCCTCAAAAAGCCAGTAGAGAGAAGAGGAATGATATATCTTAGGGTCAAATTTATTCTACAATTTGAAGATTCTTTATGTAAAAGTTTTATCTCTTGTGAAATAGATCTAATTTTGTCTGAACCTAGCAGGAAGAAAAGGGCTTGAACTGAAGAACAGAAGTATTCTGTGTATAGGATAATATAAAAAGAAAAAATGTAAGAAAAATGTTGGAATATGGAACTTCATGTGTTAATATAAGCTTCTTGAATCAAATTCAGAAGTAAGTATGTAGGTAGCAAAAGCCAGTAGAATAACACTGGCTCAATATTATTTTAAGACATATTTACTCATATTTACTCAAAGGCAAATGAAAATAATTTGCCGTGGCCAAAACTTTCAAGGGCAGGACAGATAATTGGTTGCAGTTATTAATCCTGACTTTCATTGAAATATCACTTATTTATTTTTATTAAATTTATATACCATTCGAAGGGGGTTCATCCATAGACATTTAGCTATGCACTTTGGGTTGAACCCCCTTCGATACCTGTGGGAGTATGAACTGATTTCCAAAAAATTGCAGACTACAGAAACCAGTTCCATTTGAACTACTCAGGTGAACCTAAGGACACAGATAAACCTCCAAATGACCTCAATGGCTGTCTACTCTAAAAGAATGCAAATGACCAACTGTCTGCAAGAAATGTAAATCTTTCCATTCCCCATTATCCAATCAGAGCCGAAGGAGCTTCTTGGATAAGAAGCAAAACATCTTCAAAGAAAAACAAGGAAGCCCAGTTGCCTCATGAAAAAGCACCTTTGGGACAACCATGACCTGAATGACTGAGAATCTCCATTGCCAATTTTTTAAATACAACACATAATTAAACTTTGGAATTTGCTACCATGGGATGTTATGCAAGTTGATAGCTTGGCTGGCTTAAAAACAAATGTTGGATCAATTCATGGAAATCATGGGGAGCAATAACTTTTAGCCTTAATGGTAGTGTCTGGCTTTGAAGGCCATCAGCTGGAAGATTAGTGGGATTCCTTATTGACCTGTTTGGTCACTGTGAAAACAGTGGGCTATCTTAGTGTTGGCAAACCTTTTCGGCACTGAGTGCCGAAATGGGAGTATGTGTGTGTGCGCAGGCACACACCGGACACTGGAAGAGCAGTGCATGTGCACACTGGGAAGATGATTTTCCGGTTTCCAGTGCACACATGCTCATGGGGCATCTGGTCTTTGTGTGCACATGCACACCAGAAATCAGAAGACCAGGTGGCCAATGTGCATGTGCAAGCTGGAAACCGGAAGATCATCTTCCCAGCACGCGCACCCGGCGGCTGTTCTTCTGGTTTCCTGCGCTCCCATGCATGTGAAGACCAGTTTGCCAGCACACCGGAACCCGAAAGTGCAAAAGGTGATGACACTTCTGGCAGGCGTGCCATAGGTTCACCATCACGGGGCTATCTGGTCAATGGTACTGATCCAACAGGGCACTGCTTATGTTCTTATGTTAAATGAAATAATATACTGATAGAAAAGGGTGAATCAAATGTCTCTCCTAAAGCTGTGTAAACTCATTACTCATTATTTCAATGAGTAAACAACAGCCATCTCAAATATTTACAAATTGTACAATCCACAATCTGAAGGGATGCTACTATTATCAACCTTGGAATGGAATGGTTCAGATTCATTTCATTTTGTTCATTCACCTGCCCTCTCTTTCCAAATACATTATAAAAAAGAGTACTGGAAGGTTAGTTGCTAAACCTCTCTGTTAATCAAATGTTACTACATTAGCAGACACAATCTCTATCACCTTACCCGCCCATCTCAGACTGAGGAGTAGTTTTGGTAATAACAATAGTTTTCCCCAATTTGGATTCCAGATCCACTTTGTAGTCTCGATGCCGCAGAAGCTCACGCTTGATAGGCTGCACTGGTTTGCCTAAAATATAAATTAAAAAAATTAATGAGGATAGACAGACAGAGAAATAAAATGATTTGGTATACCCTTGAAATATAAAACCTTCATTTTATTATTAAATATTTTTTCTTCTATTGCCCAAGAAAGTTCTTCACTTAATTTTAATTCCCCCAACTCTTAAGATCAAATAAACCTAACTTCTTAATTTGTTGAATATGAGTAAACAGGAAATAATTTTTTACAATTTTTAAAAGAACATAACATGAAGTGTCTAGCTGTCTGTCTAGCTAGCTAGATATGTATCCATCTATTATGCCGCCCATCTCCCCTACAAGGTGACTGTGGGGAGCCAAACCTTCCCTCTGAAATGTTGTCTTTTGCATCTCATTCTACAAACTGAATTAGCAACTACTAATGAAATGGAGACATGCACTGCATAGTCAGCATACTACTAACCATCTTTCTTCTCTCTTTCCTCTGTAAGCCGTTTCTCTGCAAGCTTCTCATATTCATCTTTGTCCCACTTTCGGCGAAAGTCTAAGTTTTTAGCCTATGATTGAAAAAAATGTAATATTTCAGTTAACAAAAAAGGTCTGGTGTTGACAATAATATGAATTATTGGCTTGTAGGAGACTCATTTTCTCTAAAAACTCTTACACAGGAAAAGCATAGGCAGGCAATGTTTATACAGAAAGCATTAAACTCAACTATTATATGCTACAGGCAAATTCTAAAAGCTACAGAACTGAGAAGGTCTGATAAGGAATAAAATTTTCTTTAAATTTCAACAGCTGAATTCCACAAGGATCAGCAATCTCTTTAGGCACTATGCATACGTGGTGAAATTTTAGGTTATATCAATAAAAATATCCATTCTAAATCATGAGAAGTAATAATTCCACTTTTTCTGTAGCCAAAGTCCATCACAGCCCAGCATCTTAAGTGGTCACAAGAGAGGACTAACAACAGCTATGATTATAGTCTTCAAATGTCTGAAAGGATATCATTCAGAAAAAAAGTCTAGCTCTCTCTTTCTCAAAAGGGAAGGCTGTTTAACCTTGGAGTTCCATATGTGCCATTTAGAAGCATGATGATACCCACAACTGCTGATACACTCGTCTTATTAATATTCTTACAAGAATACTTTTGTTTTACGAGAAAAGACCATACCATTCCTGACTAAAATAAATACTAGCCTATGGATACAATTACTATACCAAGAAGGTAGAAACTGCTTATTAAACACAGAAATAAAGGCAGCAGATATCTGATAAGTGAAGTATTTATATAGCTTTAAGAAAAATACAGGGAATTACAACCAAAATGAAAATATTGTCATTAAATGCAAGAGGGAAAAAGCAATAGAAGTACATTTGGAGAGGAGGAGTGCTGATGTCGCGACGGCACGACGTGCAATCCGAGTGCTCCGAGATCGCAGTCAAATTTCTGCCACTGGATGGTCCATCTCAGTGGTGGGTTTCAAAAATTGTTCGAACCTACTCTGTGGGTGTGGCCTCCTTTGTGGGAGTGGCTTGCCACCCATGTGACCAGATATGAAGATGCCGATGACACTTGTCAGAACCACACACAGTACTGGCATGCATAACAATATGATGT